TCTATATTTAACTTTAGATATCTTAGGATATAATTGAGCTGAGACGTCATTTAAATGCCTATATATATTTAACATAATGGTATGCCTTTAAAGTTATACTATTTTAAATATTATTAAAAAGTTTGAATGTTTCAAAAACCGGAAATTGAAAATGGGAAATGATCCAAATTTTTTTCTCTCAAATTTTATTTTATGTATAAAACGTTTTTATCATGTATAGCGTAAAAAAAACCTTGCCCAGCTAATACCCATATCGAAAGCTATTAAATATAAAAATAATAACCAAATATATATATACAAAATTATTAAACAAATATATTACATTTAATTAATTATTTAATATATATATATATTAGATTATCTATTCAATACTACTATATAGCGAAGGATAACAGGTAATGTTAAAGAACACGATATTTAAATGTTTACTTTATATGAGGAAATATACGTTTATATATATTAAATGCCAGTAGAAGTTTTATGGGATCATCTCCGTAAATTATATAGGTTTTTAATCTAAATGTTGGTATTTTATTAATTTATAATTATACTAAAGAAATTGATTAATATGACATTGAGCATTAATTTATAATAATGTTAAAAGAATTTTATTGATTTATTTGCCATCAGACTTCCTAGACATTATGCCATTAATTCAATAATCAATTGAACGCTGAGATCTACAAATACTCCCTCTACACTGGAACCTACCGGTCTTAGCTCCGATAATCAAACCAGACCGGATGGTTTGACGTTAGTCCCTTGGAACCTAGGTTTACCTCTCGCTTGGAACTATACCTGCGTTGATCGTTTTGCCAGATCTTTTTCTGCCAACTCCATATTAAAAGTGGAGAATACAAATACAAATAAATATTGCCACCTTAATAATATTTTATTCGCTGCGGTAGTCTCAGACACCTGTGGATCATTCGGACCCCAAGCCTTAAAATTATTCAAAACAATAGGGCAAAGGTTACGATTAATCACAGGTGATCCGAAAGAAGGTTTCTATTTCAGCCAAAGGATTTCAATCGAAATCTGTCGTTCAAACTGTATATCCATTTATGGGTCATTAAGCCCCGTGGACCACACCTAATTAGATATCCCTCTTTTTTTTTAAATAATTTAAAAAAAAATTTTTTTTTTCTTAATTTCCCTTCTTTTAATTATATGTTTTTTTTTTGTTTTTAATATATCTTTTTAATTCAATAATTATCGATTACATATTATTATAAATATATTTGTTGTGTGAAAAAAAAAAATCTTATTCTATTATTAATTTAATTTATAACATTAAATAAGCTTTTCTTAATTATTAAAGCTTAAATTTTATATATTAAAATTTAAATATTAAATGTTTATTTAACTAACAATATTTATATTCTATGCAATAACATAAAATTAAAATTTTATCGTAAAAAAGCTAAACATCCATCTATGGCTTTCCCCTAATAGGAAATCATTGTTATTAAACAAATGATCATAGCATCAGGTCTTAGTAAATTTATAAGCAAAATAATATATATTATTTAACGTTAATTTCGGAACCTACTTGTAGAATGATGTAAATAGTTATTTCAAAAATTAAATTTTTTCCTAAAAAAATTATATTTAAAAGATCGGTTATCTTATATATTAATAATTGGCGATTTCATTACAAAAAAGGGAGCAGTAATATCATTGATCGTAGCTTGCGATATTCAATATCTTTATTAAAATTGAAGGCGAAGGTGAGGTAAGGAATAAATAAATAGTTGATTAAGGAAAAGGGGTTTTCAAAATTACTGGTCCTTATAATATAAATATAATAATTATGACATATGTAATTAGAATTATTGCATTTAATAGTTTTAATTAAAAAAATTGATCTCATTCTGACTCGGAATCAAATTTCATAATATATATCACCTATTTTTAAATAAATTTTCTAAATCCCCTTATCTTAGAGGAATATTCTAAAATTTTTTCATGTGACAAAAAAAACAACTAAATATATTACTTTTGGGTTCATTTTCTTGCACTATATTAAAATTATTATAATGTGAATGTAATTTCTTAATATTTTTTTATACCTATGTTTAGAGTAACGTCTTCATTTTTCGAACCCATTCCTAATATTTTTTAATTATTTTATTATTATATTATAAAATACATACGTATATCTTTAAATAATTTACTAATTGCTATCCACAAATTTAAGCCTTAAAAGAAAATTTTAATAAAATTTGAAGAAAAAAATTAATATAGAGCGGCAAAAAAATATACTCTCTATGTAATAGTCCATATTCATTAAGCGATCTATAAGAAGCAGAAACATATTTGAAGTAGTATTTATATTTCATACTGTTTAAGACACCTACCATATAAATAGGCAGCATCTAAACTTTCTAAATATATATAAAATATGTAAATTATGTTGTTATCGATCTCTAATTGCATAATTCTCAATAAATATTTAATCTAACATAATACAATTTTCAACTCGGTAATTAATTGAACCTCTTTTTGTATGCATGATATCGCCATCTATTAAATATTATAATTTAATATATAAATTCCTTATTTATATTTAAAAAAATACTTTCTTTCTTGCAAACGACATAGACTAAATATTGATTTTTAATATATTATACTTTATGCCAAATAATATAATTTTGGCTTACAATTAGGATTACTACGGATACAAATCAAGGCCTTCGCCACTAAATGTAATGGACAATTAAAAAATGTTAAATATATACACGTTAAAATTTGCTAATTTCAAATGATCCGTTTATTAAAATATTTATACTAATATAACTTTACAACATTCAAAAAATATAGCTTTTCATTATGTTGTAAAATAACTTAAATATCGGAATAAAATATATAATAATAAGCAAAGTTTTAAGAGTAATAGTTTAAGTCTATAAAACGTCCATATATATCATAAAATAGAAATATTAATCTCCATTTTTATTTATTTATTTATTTTTATTTATTTATTTACTTTCTTTCTTTCTTTCTTTCTTTCTTTCTTTCTTTCTTTCTTTCTTTCTTTCTTTCTTTCTTTCTTTCCCTCTTCTCTTCTCTTCTCTTCTCTTCTCTTCTCTCTTCTCTTCTCTTCTCTTCTCTTCTCTTCTCTTCTCTTCTCTTCTCTTCTCTTCTCTTCTCTTCTCTTCTCTTCCTCTTCTCTCTACATCTTATACCCCAGTTCATACATTTCACTAGGATTTTAATAATAATTGGAATAACTAGCATTATCTAAAAGGTCCCTATAGAAAAATACGAAAATCTTCTCATTCGTAAAAGTGGCAAATCTCATATTATCAACCAATTGATTCCTAAAATAGCAATTTCAAAGATCTTTTCCATCAAACACAAAATGTTTTAAAATCATTTAAATTTTTAATCATTAAAAGATTTTTCACTCTTAATGAAACTATTAATAATTTTCAAATTATTTATATATAATTATCCTTTTTGGCTATTATACCATTAAAATTTGAATTTAAAAATAGGAAATGAATTTTAAAAAAACTTTAAAATTTTTTTAAAAAAAAATTAAATAAAATTACTTATATTTCGAGTGTCTAAGCCTAAAAATTCATAATATAATGTATTGATTTATTATTATAATTTTTTTTTATAAAAACATAATATTTTTAAAGAGCATTCATACACCCTATGATTTTTATCATTATTCATCTCAATATGTATTTATATTTTTAAAACTAAATGAACCTTATAATAAAATTGTATTTCAAAGCTTTATTTTATATATTGTAAAAAAAAATATTTAACATTGATAAAAGCGAGTTTTTATTAAAAACCTCAATTCAAGTCGATATATAGAAACGGCTAACTTAAGATTTTGTTCGGAAATATATTAAGCAACCCTGAGTATGTCGGCCATCACAAAGATTGATGTTTTATCTACAACTGTATCATAATTATTTTCTAATGTTTGAATAAGATTATATATAAATTAGGTTTGTTTTATGTTAACCCTTGTATTTTAATTATGAAGTTGTTTTTAAGCTATTAATTTCGAAGATATTATATACAGATATTCTTTTCTGCAGTTTATTTTACAGTTCTTATATTAAAGATTTTGCTTACAGTAATTTTCTGAATAAATTTATCATGGACTGGTATATTATTTATAAAGGAAAATATTTTATGATAGTCTATTCATTTTTCATAAATTATTATAAATATTTATTTAACTATTCAATATTACTTATGTTTTTGAAAATAAAATAGTCTTAACATAACTATATAATAATAATGGGTGCACCCCTAGGTATATATTCATTCAATTCGTTAGGGTTTCTGCCCCAAAATCTACTTTAATAAACTATTTTTTATGATATATTCTAAAAAATAAATTGTCTTGTATATTTTACAAAAATGTCTCTAAATAAGGCATGGAAAATATATTCCATTAAAGTATGGAGTAACCTTGACCTTGTAATATTTAAAATTGAATTTGGTTTGTTTTAAATATAAAGTATACTTAAAATCTATTGTCAGGAATTAATTTCTGTCTTGATTTAAGATTTATATTTTTATCTGAGCTACTAAACCTATCAAAGGGTTATCATTTGGATTAGCAATCTTTACTATAATATCACGTGATAAATTAATCAAAAACTCGATAAAAACTTTTTGATCATTACTATAGAAGGATAAAGGCATTTTTTCATTTACATAAAGCAATAACATAAAAAGGATCTTGATTGAAATCAGAAACTTTAAAGTATTGCTCAATAAATTGTTTAAAACTTCTTCAAGTCGCTGGTTTTGGTAATTAAATGTTTTGATAAAAAGAAACAGTAAATAAGATCCTAATATGTTATAAAATATTTTGAAAGAACTCGAAGTGACCCCTCTAATAGGTGACCCAACCATTGATAGACAACTACGTTTATTAACCCTAAAAGGTATAATCATAAATACTAATATTCATAGAAAGATTAAATATGAGTTAAGATCTTTAGAATAGTAATTATTTCAAGTATATAAATAAGTTTTGGAATAATAACAAAGTTGAAATATTTAGAGGAAAGTGTAATAAAGTTTTTTTCTGTCAAGATTATCAAAGGCATTTTTACAAGCTAACATATTATTTTATCCGATGTAGTGTAAAATTCTAAAGTTTTAATAACTTAATTGAGTAGGAGCTAAAATATTTGAAGCTCGTTTTATTGTTTTTGAAAATAAGTTCTAAAAGAGCATATAGTTATATGTCCAACACGATAGTTGGGTTTAGACAATGCAATATGTTGCACCAAGCTTTAAAATGCTCAAAAATATCCTAATATAATATTTTATCGCAAAGAGTATCTAAATGTTGTAAGTCAAGGAATAGTTTTCTAAAAGCTAAGATCTAAAAAATCTTTATTTTCTGAAAATTATTTAAATTAATACTCCAATGGAACATTTTTACTTTTTCAGCATAAATTAAATATTGAGATGATGTAAAAGATAAATATATAAAATCAGTCAAAATTTCAAAGGTAGTCTGATATATAAGTATTAAACGATGACCAAGCCAAATGAATGGCTTCACTATTAATATCTAAATATTAGCTTGCTTATAACTTTAACTTTGTATTTATCTGATTATCAATAGTTTTAAAATTATATTCACTGATTGACAACTAAAGAAATTCTATAATTATATTTTTAATTTTTTTCTGATTTTTCAAGATATTAAAAATAATAAAAGATCAAAACATAATCGTAATCAATTAAACATCGGATAATTTTGATGTGGATAGGGTTAAAAATCAGCAATATACTAAATCCTTTTATAGAAATATCTGGAGGGTTAAGGGTATTTAGAAATAAATATCGATGGATTTATATTATTCGCTATTTGTTAGTAGCTTCAATCTTTAAGAATTTGGACATATTAACTTGTTATTCCTTCAAATATTTAAGAATTTAGTTAATATAATATTCTAAAAACTGAAGGAATTATAGAAATATATATACTTTACAAATTTTTTTAAAATAGATGATTTATTATAATAAGAGATTTCCTGGTAAAATATCTGAAACTTTAATCACGAATTTGAATATAAACATAAAGTAAATGATATTATTTGTGTACCATTATATTTTAGAATGTATGGTTTATCTGGTAAATATTTGGAATGAGTTTAATTCACAATTTATTTCATTTTATACCTCTACGGGATGTAATTGTGACATTTCCATATTCGAAAATATAATAATCTATTTCTCCTAAAAAACAAATAAATATTAAATTTGCTTTGACGATATTATTATTTTATACATAACTTAAGTGTTTTTAGATTTAAAAAAAAAATGGTTAAAATAAGAATATATATCATTACATAATTAAATTTACCTAAATTTATTATTAGGCTTCCATTTACCGATTCTGTGAACGAATTTAGATAAATTTAAATCTAAATGTTTACAAAATTAAGATTACAAATGTTGTAAATTAAGTTTTCAAAAGAACTTATACACATTTTTTTTGTATATTATATTGTTCCCTTTATATTTGAATTTTGACCCCCAATATTTTAAATAGGAAAACATTTGTTTTCGCTTCATATCCTTTCCTAATTTCACATATAATGTATTCTCGTTTACAATTTTATATTTTTGAAATTCGTTTAATAAAATTAAGTACTTAAATTTCTGGCCATTTATGTAATTATTTTTTTTCCATTAAATGTGTTTTCTTATATAAATTTAATTTAATTAATTAATTTATATTCTTTTTTTTATATGATATTCAATTTAAAAATCATAGCATTGAAGAAAATTAAATAAAACAAAAATAATTTATATATGGAGAATTCCATATCATATCAAATCGAAATTTCAACCCTAACCCTTCATAATTTTTTTTATGATTTTGTATATTAATAGTAATTGTGAATGGAAAAGTATTCTATTTTATTTTAAATATGTTAATTTCTTTTATAAATATTATAATTAATTTATTTTAATTCAATTTTTCACCTTAATGATTAAAAAAAAATAAGTTTTATGTTGGGAAAAATATACTATAACTAAGAAAAATTTTTTTTACTTCCTTACACCATTTACTCGCTAGGATATAGGGGTTTAATGAGCGGAAAAATAGCACATTTTTGACAAAATACACTTATTAATCACAAGAATAAATAAAGCTAGAGCAATAATTCAAATTTTTATTATATATTTAAATAAAGGATTTTTAATATAAAATATAAATCAATGTGATAAAAACCCGGTTACTCAAAAATGGTAGTAAAAACCAGAAATGACAATAGAAATAAATAAATATTTATTTGTTTAGTTCAAATTTTTTTTTCTGTAAATGTTAGAACTTCTATATATTTTTACAAAATCCTATACTGGAATGAACGGGGATCAGGAGAATCATAATTTATACGGCTAAAATTGATCGAAATTTAACATAAATATCATTATATTTAAATTTAATGAATTTTTACCTAATAATTTTTAATTAAAAATTATGTCTAAATGAAAGCCTCTTACTCTATTATATTTCAACAAAAATATTTTAAAGTTGTGGAGTTGGAACAATGAGATTTATTTAAAACCATTAGAATTTTAACTAACTTAAACTAAATTAAAACTATCTGCTAAAACTATCAGCAATACGTGTCAAAATATTTTAAACATATTCATGACTTTATTTGACTAAATATTTTCTATATAATCTTGTAATACATTCAAAAAAATTTATTATAAAATGCAAAACTTATAAAATATTTTATATAATGCCTTTAATTTTATTTTCCTCTAAAGGAATAAAAGTAAAAAATGTTTGTTTTCTTGAAATTTGTTTTTCTGTCAAAAATCTGTTTTCCAGGATGATTTTTCATACTTAGCTATACGTCATTGCTAACAAATGTATATTTATTCCACTGATTTGCATAGTTAAACTAATCTATTTTTGGCAATAATAATATATGAATGCTGCAAGTTTGCTCAAGCCGAAAGCCGTTTAGTAAAAGTTCTCAAAACTGTCGCAGGGACTTTTACCACCTGTTATAAATCAATGTCATTCTGCCTTAATCCCAAAATTATTTTCATGATTGTAGGGGTTAATAAAGTTTTTATATTTTTATAATGGGAAACTGCCCCTCCCTTATAAAAAATTACGAATTTTGACTACCCTGGCTAATCTTTCTTAAAGATAAGTTCAATTTTAATAGAAATAAATAAAATACACATGGGTTGTGCTTTAATGAACCTGATATAACCATTAAATATACTTGTTTAATAAAGCCCTATTAACAGTAATAAAGAAAAAGTTAATAGTGCCCTAATTATTGGTCCAATGGAATCTTTGTTCATCGTCCTACACTACAAAGGCATAATTTTCTTAAGGGTAATTAATTAAGTAATTTGCCAAAATATAAATATTATTTTATTGAGTTTTTTTAAATAAGGATTGTTGTAAAGCTATAAAAATTAGTAATAAAATTATTCAATTTTTTTGCGGACTTTATAAGCGTTTCAAGAAATTGTATATAATCTATTGAATTTGCATCAAATAATAAATTAAATCCTTCTTTTATAAGCGTTCTAAAAGAAATTGTATATAATCTATTGAATTTGCATCAAATAATAAATTAAATCCTTCTTTTATAAAAATAATAAATTAAATCCTTCTTTTATTTTTGATTTATACTGTAATAAAATATTCAAAATTATATTGCTCAATAATTTTAAAAGAAGTTAATCAAAGTGTTGAAAAAAAACCACATCGCTCACCCCTACCTCTCAAATATATTTTTTTAAATAATAAAGTAAGGGCCTTTCATTTGTGCATATTTTTTTTAATAAAAATATTACCTTATCACATAAAATATAAATCTGATGGTATTTTTGTTAAATAAATATCAATTTTAGTCATATAAGTAATCATAACTCCTAGATCCACATTCATCCCAGTCTTGGATTTTGTACAAATATTAAGCTGTTTTACATTTTCAGAAAATAAAATTTAAAAAAAATACCCTTTTTTCTATGGCCCATTCCGGTTTTAGCTATTAATCAGTGGTTCTATCACATATATGTCATATTAAAGATTCATTATAAGCTATATAATAATTAGTAAATTATTGTTCCAACATTATTTATTCTTGAGATATTTAAAAATTAATGAAGTGCATTTTATCAAAAATATATCATCTTTTCGCTCTTTATTTTATCATAATGATAGTATATCTTTTAAATTATTTAAGTATAAATTACATATCCCGCATTTTAATGTTTTCCCCATATTAACGTTCAAAATATTTCTTCTTAAAAAACGTCATATCAAAATTTACTGCATTTTAAATTTTATCCTACCGGCAATAATCAATAATTTAAATTTGAGAATAAGAGTTTTTTATAAATTGTTAGTAGATTATTTACGATAACTAAACATAAATATATATATATACCTAGTCGCTTAACTGTCAGATCTTTATTTAATTAATTTTTAAAAATAAATATTTTTATAATATCCAAATTCTTCGAATTAAATCTTTTTGAGGGATGTAAATTATTCCAAGAAATTTGATTATGGTATGAGTAACTTTGTGCATTAAATGGAATATACATAATATAATATTTCAATATTTCAAAATTTAACCTACTCATATATAATTTTTTTATAGCTTTTATCGCTTATAATCTAATGATGTCCTATAAATCATGCATAAATTAAATGTTATACTCGAGATTTATGTATTATATGTTACGGTCATTACAAAATTAGTCTATAAATTATCTAAAGACTTAACTGATTTAAAACTATAAGAGGCTTAATTAATTGCAAATTAGCAAGAGAATATTATATTATTTACACACTATCTTAAGGCTCAAATATAATAGTAAAACTAAAAATTTGTAACAAATATTCATAAGTGACCCAAAAGCAGTGTCTGCATAACCTCTCAGGTTTGGAGGGTAGTATCTAAGGGGGGGGGAGTAGTCAAAGGGTAAATTTATTGGAGGGCTATCAAATAATTTTT